GATGCTTCTTCTGCAGTATTTTGCTGCACAATCATAAACTATGCATAGCCCTTGTAACAGCTGACAAATGGATTCTTCACTATCTGAAAAACAAAGAATATCTTGAACTTCATCATTTTCCAACATGCTATCATTGTGTAATGTTTCTAATTTTTGTAGCTTAGGTTCCTCTTTCAGGATCATCTTTGCTGGTTGATTTTTCTTATATTACCTGTTTGTTGGAGGTGGTGCATACTTTTGAACTTTTTGGTTTGCCAACTTTTCTTTGGTAGCATTTTCGTTGTCAGGTACATGCTTTCTATTCTAAAAATTTGGGGTTTCTGTAGAAGCATCTTTTCTTATCACCTGGGTCTTTTTGGGCTCTTTTCTCTTTTGTGTTTCCAACTTGGACACCATTGTGATTGGTTTTCTCTGAGTTAGTTTTAATGAGGTTTCTGCTTTCTTAGCAGCATTATATAGTTCTGCCAATATTTGACATCTAGGATGTAAGTTGTACACTAAATGTAGAATATCCTCTTGTAATCCTCTTTGCAAAACTTCCATCAGTTTTATTTCTTTCATTGTTGCAAGCCATTGTGGGTCCATTGGTCTATGTGGAGAAAACCCATTTATCAATTTCTTTGCTCTGTTAACAAACTGAACCACACTTTCTCCATTCATTTGCTTTAAACTAAACAGTTTCTCTTGATACTCCATAGGATCAAGATCAAATTTGTCATGGAGGGTTTCCATATTTCCTCTACAGTATGCTCTCCATCAAGAGCCAATACCAAATCCCTTGTAGGACCAGTTAAATAATCAAAAAGATTTGCTTTCACAACATCTTCACCAACCCAGCCATAAGCATGACATGCCTGATTAAAATCTTCCTTGAATTTTGAACACTCAATGCTTCCATACAACTTGAGGATAGTTCTTTGAGGGCTGTCCCAAGCAGCCCTTAATGTTTGAATTACTGTTGTGATATCAATATTTGGGTTCTGTGATGGGTGATGTGTTCAATTTCCAAAATCTGGTGGAATTGTGATTCTATTTGTTTTCAATATGAGAGTTCAATAGCAGAGTAGATAGTTGGTAATAACAGGTTGTCAAATTACCAAATTGTCTTCCAATGTTGAGGAGTAGATGGATGGCTCCAGTGGAGGTTGTTTCCAGGCTATCTTCCCAGGTCCTTGGGTCCAGATAGGAATGCTTAGAATGAAAATAGTGAGGAGTTATATACTTTCAGGTTTGCCTCTGATATCCAATCATCACTTTACAGTTGCCAAACTGTGTAGTTCATATTGGGGCCGACAGAAAATGTCCCCAAGTGAGCTGCCAGATACAACAGCCTTCACTGACACACACTTGCTGACACACACACACACTGACACTAAACAATGTTTTGTTCATTCCCCCACGAACAAAATTTCACCCACTGCCCTTGTGAACAGCCCTTTCTTGGTTTTGATTTCGCAGCTTCTTTTAACTCCATCATGACTTAGGAGGATTTTTGTCAACACACCTACCATCCAGCTGTGCCTTGGCTTGATTTTTATCAATGATTAAGACCTTATCTCCAATTTGCAGCTTTCGCCCTCCCCTTGTCTTCCTCTGTTGCCTTACTAATTCCTGGACATATATTTTACGCCGTTGTCTCTCCATTTTGTTCCATCGTCTTTGGTTCCATCTTGGGTCATTCTGTTGTAGCCTTTGCCCTTTGTTCAAAGAATTTGGTGTTACCAACACCTGGTCAGGGTCGTCCAAAGGATGTCAGGTCAGTTGTTTCGGCTAATGGTCTCTTTAACACGAGTACTTTACTTAAGATTTTAGCTTGTACGTTATCCTGTGATCTCTCACACCATGCATCGTATTTTTGTTGCTTGAATTGTGTAGGCAATTTTGTCAGCCAGTCAGCAGGGTTGCTCTGTCCCTTTACGTGAGACCATTGCTCAGGGCTAGTGTATTGTCATATTTCAGTTACTCTTGCCCTCGCATACTTCTCCATTTTTCTTCATTTTTTATGAACTTCAAAACCACTTCGGAGTCAGTCAGGAAGACTGCTGGCCACCTAGTAACTCCCAGACTTACTTCCAGGGCTAGCCTCACTCCCAATAGGGCTGCTGCGAGTTCATGTCTTGGGGTGGTTTTCATAACTGGCTTAATGAGTAATGCTTTGGCACGTATCACCCTTTCCTGCTATGTAAGCATATATGACTGCCCCAATGACTTTGTCGGAGGCATCAGTGTAAATGTGGTACTCTTCAGCCTTTCTCCCATGTCATGTTACAGACAATTTATCTGGGAGTTTTGTTATCGCCTCATTCCATCTGGTTTTCTCTTGTTCCAGTACTTCCTCCCTCCAATGCTTCATGTCTCTTTGCAATTTTGAGAACATTACTCAGAGTCTGGCTACCACTATGGTCACCAGACCCAATGGGTCGTAGATCTTTGCTATCATTCCCAGCATCTCTTTCCACGTTGCCTTCTGTCCTAGTGCCAGGTTGCTTAGGTTCCACTCCAGAATGGGTCATAATGGATCCCTAGCACTCTGTTTGGATAATTAGCGGGCCTTTGTTTGTGGGGAATTTGTTTTATTACAGCTTCAGAGTTTGATGATATTTTTGCCAATGTGAAGTAGTTGCCAAGAGTACTTTACTCAAGACTTCGCCCAGGTAGTCTTCACTGTCAGATGCTAGGATGAGGTCGTCGACATAGAAGCATCTTTCTATCTCTTTTCTCTCTTCATTGGTAAGGCTGGAGGCCTTCAGGACCTTCCTAAGCATTGCTGAGACCACATATGGGCTATCTTTAGCCCCAAACACATGCCTTGTCATTCTGTATTCTTCTAGGTTAGTGTCGATTTTTTGGCTCCCTTGCTTCCAATATAGTAGTCCAAAGTATTATTCATCAGGGACTTCCACCTGTAGCTATTATGTTGTTTATGTATTTGCCTCCATCCCTTGCTGAGCAGTCAGAAACGATTCTCATTTTTTCTTTGTTTGGGCTCAACACGCCATGATGAGGTATGAACCACTTTATTGTTCCATTTTTGGCATTTTTCTTTGCATAACCCTTTTCAAGGTAGTCCTTTATCCCTTCATTGTATTGCTTCTGGTATTCTATGTCTCTTGTAAACTTCTTCTTTAGACTTTGTAGCCTGCTGTAAGCCACATGTCTGTTACACTGTAGTTCCATTTGTTTCCCATTAAAAAGAATAGGTGCATACACCCTTTCCATCTTTAAAGTGTATTCTGTTTTCTAACTGTTTGACCCAAAGTTCATCATTTGTTGTCAGTTTCTGTTCCTTTGTCTCATTCCTATTCTTTAATATCAAGGCAATTTTTGTCAGTTGCCTTCTTTCTGTCCTCCAACCAACAATTGACCATCCCAACTTAGAACGCATAGCAGTGGGCTCATTGACCTTCCCTTCCAGAATCGTTCTTGGGGCTATCAGGTCAATGTAGTCACAACCTATTAAAAAATCCACCTTATAATTTGTCAATTCTGGTATGTCTAAGTTTCTTAGATATGGCCATTTTGCTCTCTCCTCATCCGTTATGGATCTTTGATCAATTGTGGTAATCTCTGAATATTTGAGGGCTACCAAATTCCTTTGTTTGATGCTTATCTGATATCCCACCGCATTGTGTCTCTCCACTCTTCCCATCATTGTGAGATCAACTTCTACTATTTCTATAGGCTTCGCATTGATTCTTTTGGTGGCCCTTTTTGTAATTATCATCATATCGGCTCCAGTGTCTTGAATTGCAATGAGGTTTCCATTCTCAGTTTCCACCTTTAATGCTATCATCCCATTCTCTCTTTCGATTATTGGGGTTTTCATCATCAGTATTTTCTTTTTACTGCCATTTCTTTTTTCACACTGATGCAGCATGTTGCTCTTTTTCTAGTTTTACATATCCTACATCCTGGTCTCCAACAGTCAGATGTGTTATGGCTACTTGCCATACAGTTTTCACATAAGTTCAACCTTCTAACTGCTTTGCTATGGTCTTTGATGCTCATCATTATGAATTGTGGGCAGTTTCTTAAAGGGTGTGGCTTCCCACATACATAACAATCTATTCCCTTTCTTTTTCGTTGCCCTTCCCCAAGGCTGTCAGTTGTCATTGCTTGCTGCTCGATAATTACATTTTTTAGCCCACAGCTTTGGGCTTGCACGAACCTTGCCATGTTGTTCACTGTGAGTTTTGATTCAGCTGTTAACTGCTCATCCTTCCATCTTGCTCTTAGTTGTGTGGTCATGTTGAACTTGCTGGCCATGACTTGGATTGCTTCCAACTGTTCACTTCCTAGATCATTTCTATCTTTATAATCCTTGTAAACCTCCTTCTGTATTTGACTTAGTTTGTCATGTTTTCGAATGTTACCATCTGCCACTCTGCCCAATTTTTCTAACCTAGCAAAGGCTGCGCCACATTTTGTTTTTATTTCCCCATATTTTAAGCATAGGAATTTCATTGCACCATTGTAACCATCCTTTGGTGATGATCTGAATCTATCTACCTCTTCTTGTAACTCGATGCCCAAGTGCATATGCAGGGCTTTCTCTTCTTCACGTCTTTTTCTTTCCCTTTCTGTGGCCTCATCCACTGCAGTGGTTATAGTGGATCTTATCATTGCACTTTGCATTTGCTGGTTGTTTTTTACCATGGCTTGGTCTTGGGCTCTTTCCTCATTTCGTCTCTCCTTCTCCAACTCCATGGCCTCACCAATTTCATCCATTATTTCTTGCTTTTTGTCAGTCCACCATTCTTCTCCTTTCACCATCCAATCTGTTAGGTCTTTGGAAGGTGGGTATTCTTCCTTCTTTGGGGTGTCCTCTATTTCATCATCAATGCTATCTTCCATCCTATCAAAGGCACTTGCATCTTTTTGTGTGGTCCAGCATTGCTTGCCAGACATTGTATGCTTTGGCATGCCTGTATCGACTTGCATCATTGATAGGTCTTCATCATCACTCTCATCTGCAGTTACTGCACTGTTTCTGTTCCTTTTTAAGGAAGATGTCCCTCTTGTGCTGGAACAGCTGCTGCTCCGTGTCGAGCCATGGCTATTGGCTTGGCCCTTTGCTGCCCCAATATAAATATTATTTATATTTGCTTCAATATTCTCCTTTTCACATTGCCATTAATGTTCTTCCCTTGTGGATCGTCTGTCCTTGGTGAGTAGCCTCCTTCAACCATAGGCAGGCATTTTTTTATTTTCCTTCTTGTCTCGGCCACTCTGTCCTCCAGATCACCCACAAAGAGTTTATCCCATTCATCTAACAATTTTTCTGCCATAAAACATCTCAATTTGATAAGTCCTGTAGTATATCTTCCATCATCCAGGCCCCTCTTAGTGTGACCCATGCATCTGTTAATGGTCTCCAGTCTTTGTGCTGTGGTCATGCTTTGTACTTTCTTTTCCATGGCAAATAATTGTCGTTACCCCTTATTATAAATTTTTTTTTTATAAAATGTGAAACTTTACCCACTTAAGCGTGTTTGGGGCAAGGATTTTGGATCTGTGATCCACAATCCCCAGAATGCAATGTTAATACATTGTATAAGAGTAAATTGAAGAATAAGCGTTTCAATTACATAGAGTATAGGATCTGAACCAAGGTAGACAGCTACATTCTATTTTAGTAACCATTTCCATAACATCATTGTACTGGATACTTTTGTTTTGTTGTATTACCCCAACTAACCTGGTAAACAATCTTTTGCTATTGCAGTATATGTAGAATTAATGTTATTGTCTGTGTACAATGAGTTATGACTATGTCATTGAAATATTAATTTTGCCTGACAAAATGAAAGGAGACTGCCTTTCTCTAACACAGATACATACAAGTCTTCAATGTCTAAAAAGGTAAGTGAATCTGAAAATTGTCTAAGAAGTATTTAGTCTTCTTTTCCTACTGTTTTCTTTGCTTCATCTTTGATTGATGTTAAAGTTTGCCTTGGCTTGATAAATGAATGTAGGTCGTTCCTGGTGCGGTTGGTGTCAGTTGCTTTTTCTCTTGGAAAGAATGGATTGCTAACAATCCAATTATCTGTAACCGTGCAATCTTGTTCCTCCTGACTATATTTTAATTCAAAATTTAGCCTGTTAATACTTGTATATCATTTGTGCACGATTTCTGCTCACTTTTTCCATTCCTGCAAGATCAATACAAATGAACTGTAATTATTTATTATTCATCATAAAAAGATATGTCAATGTGTGACTTGCGTGTTAAAGCTACAGTCCAACAGTATGGAATCCAATTCGTGTGGAGTTTTCAATCGTCCTGATTCTTGATCACATATTGAAAAACTAGAAAAATACATACGTTATACATTGAAGCCATGATGCCATGGCGAAATATAAAAGAGTAGACAGTGCGTTTGATTAATATCATGAATCAGGAAAATGTTAATGACAGCAAAATAATTAAAAAAAAATTCACTATTAAAGTTATGAATATAAAATGTCTACAATATCACGAACACACCAAATATATTACATTAAACCTCAATAAACATTATAGTAGTGCGAGTCTCATCAAAGACTGGTCTCCTGTCCGTATCTAACATGGCGACATATTGCGTCAGAACCATGTGTTGTTAGCTTTTAGCTATTAACTCTAGAAAAACAATTATTAGACGGTGTTTCTCTTCATTTTGAAATGTTTATTAAAAGACAAATTAATTTATTGTATTAATTATAGTTGATTTATAATTGTATGATAATATCATATTTCATTTCTAAGAATTATTATAATTATTATTATTAATTATTATATTTTATTTTATTTAAACTAGTTTTCTACTTTTATATTTCATTTAAATAAAAGCAGAAGGTGTCTAACAATATTCAACTGGTCACAGAGCATCATAGGAAAAAGACAAATTAATTTATTGTATTAATTATAGTTGATTTATAATTGTATGAAAATATCATATTTCATTTCTAAGAATTATTATAATTATTATTATTAATTATTATATTTTATTTCATTTGAACTAGTTTTCTACTTTTATATTTCGTTTAAATAAACGGAGAAGGTGTCTGACAATATTCAACTGGTCACCGAGCATCATAGGAAACAGATCGTATTTATTTTCTGGTAAATGTATATCATCAACAACTGTCTTAGTAGAATCAGAAAACTCCACTTCAATTGCCCAAATTCCAAAAAGCTTGTTCTTTAGTATTTCACAGAGTTGGTCGACAAACTTTCTGTGTTTTCCATGAAACAACTGTTTGCGTCTGCATAATTTTTCCAATTTTTTACCAAGGGATATCAATTTGCGGGCTATCTGCAAGGCTTCTTCAGGGCTTTTAGGTAGAAGTGAAGTGTTTTTCAAAGAAACCAGATTGAATGTAAAGTCTTTCTTGTCAAAGTTTTTGTATCCATCAACTAAGTAGTGATCTATAACCGATAAATTCCTTTTAAAATCGTTAAGTTTCTCTTCTAAAATTCCTAGTTTTAAATTGACTACATCCTTTGTATTGTCATCATTATATGCTCCCGCACCAAAAACACATGATAAAAGGAACCCAAGTATGATGATCAAGCCACGCATGGTGTAAAAAAGTTGTGACCGTGCACACCTCTTCATTTAAAATTAAAAAAAAATCACCTATATATAGATACATTGCGGTGGTTATTTTTGGAAAATTCCTTTCCATGGTTATCTAAAGTAACAAACAGGAGAATGTGGACATCGTAAATGTTGTTTGGCGAACTTTTAATTAACAGTTAAAATGGCTTCTTTGCTATATAGAATATAGAAAATATAGAGAAATAGCAAAGTTATGGGCAACAGGAAGAGTTAGGACATGTACTAATAATAGCAAAAAGGACTTCAGGGTGACAAAAAGTATGGGGAAGGTGGAGTCTTGGTTTGTGAGTTGATAACATCCGATGACATATTTAAAGTCTGAAGGATAAGGAGAAGATTAAATGCCAAAAACTACAGCTCCTTCATTGCCTAATGGCTTTTTAAACAAATTTTTATAAAATTCCAAGTTTAATCTATTATTTAACACCAAAAAATTTAAAAAAATAATATTTTTTCAAAAACAAAAAGATCTTTAATATTTTGCCTATAAAAATTTGAGGTGTTCCAATCTTCTTGTCATTTACTTTTCAATGAATATAACTTAATATAGGCTGTATTTTATATAAAACTCCATCTTCTAGATATTAGTTAACTATTCTAATATAGCTATTGTTTTATTAGTCATGTTCCACCAGGTGAATATGGATTTGGACAATCTACCTTACTTTAGCCTACTGTTCTGGAAACACGAACAACCAAAGAGGGACAAAAAGCTTGTGGAATATAGCATGGCGAGGCTTGTATTCAGGACAAAGAGCAGTCCATATATGGCGCCTGCAACTCTGAGAAAGATGCTCAGCCTGTTGCCCCATATGACAGGTGAAGAGGTCGATGAGGTGGTACAAAGTTTTTATGTTGATGATTTGGTTCTGGCAGGAAGTAATGGACAAGGTCCTAGAAGCTATCGAAGGTTACTTCTATCTGACAATGATAGCGACAAACAATGATGTAGTTAAGAGAGCAATACATCAAGATGGAAGGGTAGATGTCCCTGCTGAGGGAATATTGGGATTGAAGTACAAAATGACAGATGAATCTTGGGTTCATCTCCATAACCTATAAACACACATCATCTCCACCTGAAAAAATGACTAAATCATCTGAAAAACTGATGTGTACAGTTTTCTAGGACTGTTCAGGATTAATCCATGTTGAATTTATGGATTATTATTAAACAAAATCTGAAAAATATAGGAAATTAGGAGAAATAGCGAAATTAAGGGCAACAGATAGAGTTTTAGGAATGGCGCTATTGTCAGTTAGCAACATCTTGAAATACAAACAGCGGGAGCAGGACAATAGGGGTGGTTCAAGGAATCTTTCAGACAGAGAGATAACCAGGATGAATAGGATTGTGAAGAACCTGAAAGACAACAACGAAAGGTGATAGCAGCAAAGATATTGAAGGAATTAGAATTGAATATAAGCCTCAGAACAATTCAGAGGGAGCTGAAAAGGCAAAACTTCAAATACAAAAACTGAATCTGGCAAAGAACTGATCTCAACCCCAAAGATTGCAAATGGAGAAAAACATACTGTCTCCAATTTATCAGCAAAAATCTAGACTGTTTAATATTGGCTGTATTTACATTAAAACTTCGTCTCTTAGATATTAGTAAACTATTCTGTAGCATATTTTATTAGAAGGCTGATTGGCCAATAAGAGAAAAGCAGCCCGCAATGAAAAGGTTCAAAAGTTTAGATTAACTTTAATACTATAATATTAAGAATAGCTTAACAGTGTGTTACCAGTCTGATATTTCAATTATGAATTGTTTAGATTTTATGGTAATTACTTTGACAATTATCTATTCTTCTAAAGATGTTCAATCAGTGGTTTGTTGCGCAAAAGATTGCACTTATACAGACTGGTCTGAATGGTCAAAATGCGACGATCTATGCAGCGGGACACAAGAAAAGGAGCGGAGGAGAGAGATCAAAGCTAAGGCAGTTTGTGGTGGAAAAGACTGCAAAGAACGTTTAAGAGAGAAGAAGAATTGTAATTCTGAATGTATGTAAAAGTTGAGAAATGTCTGTAAAATTAAATTTATACGCTTACATTCAATTGTAGTTAGCTTTCCTTGTTGGCCTGGAAGACCAGCTTACTTTTGTAAATGTTCCAAGGGATTTACGCAAGTGAACGGTAGATGTAAAATGATCAAGTCCGGTTAGTGATAGTTTACATATCTAATGATCCTATATTTTTAATAAATAATACTGTTTTTGCATAAACTATAGAAAGAACGACGGTAAAAGTCCACTCATTTATGTCTATTCTACGTTTAAGAGAGATGGATATTGTAGAACAACTGGACAAAAAAATCAATAATATTCAATACGTAAATGGCAATTTAATTGATATTACCTATAAATACAATCTAAGTATGAATCTAACTGTAAAAGAAACCAATCATTTTCTTATTGAAAGTGGTATATATTCTTATAAATTTGGCCTTGTTGACCTTCAAACATCAATGTATATTAAGAATGTTAATGGTAAGACTATATATATATTTATCACCATCTCTTTTAATCTCTTACTAATTATTATAAAACAATTACAAAAGCAGATGAAATTCGTGCAAACGTTTCATTCCTTACTGACAATTGTTCAACAAGAGTTTTCTCAAGAGATAATCCGTATTCTGGATATATAGTTTGTCAGAAGAGATATGCAAAACCGGAAATAATTCATGGTGAAAAGTAAATATATCACTTTCGTATTTCGACTCTTTTATCATTTATTTATAATACTAAAACACAAAACTAGACTGTGTTTTCTGATAATATTGAAGCTGGGTGGAAAGTTAACCATAGACGCCGACTTACTACCTCCATCCAAGATTGTTGGTACTCATTCTTGCTATTTTGGACCTATTGAAGAATCAATTGAAAGGTGTATAACGTTTGACCTACTCCCTCCAAAACATTGTTCAACTTTTAAAAAACAACCAATTAGTTGTCAAAAAGAACCGATAAAGATAAATTGCGACGACGTTAACGAATTAAAAACTCTCACAGTTTTATTCTCTGGTTGGAATGACACATTATCGATGATTAAAAGTTTTACGGCAAGTATCTACTCTCTACACGTAATTGAAGGTAATTACGAAAGAAAAGAGATAATAGATTCTATGGATTCGTATTCACCAAACGATACTGAAATGTCTTTAAAATTTTCGGATAATGGAGGATTTTTCGAAGTTGAACTACAAGCATTCGACAACGCTTTAAATGTGGAAAAGACCAGTAGACTTATTGAAATATTAAAAGATGGAAATGAATATAAATGTCATACATTTCTTCTAAAAAGTCTTTAAGCAGTCTTAAGAAGATTTTTAAGTGTATTCAACTTAGAAAGACACAATAAATTGATAGATTCTAGATAGAATGATGAAATGACGACTCTAGTCCAATGTCAAAAGTTAAAAGTATTAGGTATGATCTGAAATGATTTTTATTTATAGTTCTTAACTTATTTTGATAATTTTTTTATATTATATCTTATAGTCTACTCTAGAAAAATTAACTATTCTATTCCTTAATAGTCCCCCCCCCCCATTGTTTATACATGTCTGCCAGTTCGATGGAAGTAGATCTATCCTGTTCTGATAAGAGGAGGATGGTTTCCTCCTCAAACATTCCCTGATGTCTTTTTTGTAGCTCATCCAAATTTTTGTAATCAAATCCCCTGATATGATATTTCAGTTGTTCAAATAGGTAAAAATCCGATAGGGCCATATCAGGGCTGTATGGGGGATGTGGACAGACAGACCATCCCTGATTTCTGATAAAATCTGTTGTGTACAGACTGGTATGGGGTCTGGCATTACCATGCTGTAAAATAATCTGTTCCAGCCCTTATCCTATTTAGTCTCCTCCTTAGCCTCTTTAGGGTCTCCACATACTGAATAGAGTTGACTGTTTAATAATAATCCATAAATTCAACATGGATTAATCCTGAACAGTCCCAGAAAACTGTACACATCAGTTTTTCAGATGATTTAGTCATTTTTTCAGGTGGAGATGATGTGTGTTTGTAGGTTATGGAGATGAACCCAAGATTCATCTCAAGTTACTATTTTTTCTAAAGTAAATCGTGGACTCTGTCATTTTGTACTTCAATCCCAATATTCCCTCAGCAGGGACATCTACCCTTCTATCTTGATGTACTGCTCTCTTAACTACATCATTGCTTGTCGCTATCATTGTCAGATAGAAGCAACCTTCGATAGCTTCTAGGACCTTCTCCATTACTTCCTGCCAGAACCAAATCATCAACATAAAAACTTTGTACCACCTCATCGACCTCTTCACCTGTCATATGGGGCAACAGGCTGAGCATCTTTCTCAGAGTTGCAGGCGCCATATATGGACTGCTCTTTGTCCTGAATACAAGCCTCGCCATGCTATATTCCACAAGCTTTTTGTCCCTCTTTGGTTGTTCGTGTTTCCAGAACAGTAGGCTAAAGTAAGGTAGATTGTCCAAATCCATATTCACCTGGTGGAACATGACTAATAAAACAATAGCTATATTAGAATAGTTAACTAATATCTAGAAGATGGAGTTTTATATAAAATACAGCCTATATTAAGTTATATTCATTGAAAAGTAAATGACAAGAAGATTGGAACACCTCAAATTTTTATAGGCAAAATATTAAAGATCTTTTTGTTTTTGAAAAAATATTATTTTTTTAAATTTTTTGGTGTTAAATAATAGATTAAACTTGGAATTTTATAAAAATTTGTTTAAAAAGCCATTAGGCAATGAAGGAGCTGTAGTTTTTGGCATTTAATCTTCTCCTTATCCTTCAGACTTTAAATATGTCATCGGATGTTATCAACTCACAAACCAAGACTCCACCTTCCCCATACTTTTTGTCACCCTGAAGTCCTTTTTGCTATTATTAGTACATGTCCTAACTCTTCCTGTTGCCCATAACTTTGCTATTTCTCTATATTTTCTATATTCTATATAGCAAAGAAGCCATTTTAACTGTTAATTAAAAGTTCGCCAAACAACATTTACGATGTCCACATTCTCCTGTTTGTTACTTTAGATAACCATGGAAAGGAATTTTCCAAAGATAACCACCGCAATGTATCTATATATAGGTCATTCTTTTTTAATTTTAAACGAAGAGGTGTGCACGGTCACAACTTTTTTACACCATGCGTGGCTTGATCATCATACTTGGGTTCCTTTTATCATGTGTTTTTGGTGCGGGAGCATATAATGATGATAATACAAAGGATGTAGTCAATTTAAAACTAGGAATTTTAGAAGAGAAACTTAACGATTTTAAAAGGAATTTATCGGTTATAGATCACTACTTAGTTGATGGATACAAAAACTTTGACAAGAAAGACTTTACATTCAATCTGGTTTCTTTGAAAAACACTTCACTTCTACCTAAAAGCCCTGAAGAAGCCTTGCAGATAGCCCGCAAATTGATATCCCTTGGTAAAAAATTGGAAAAATTATGCAGACGCAAACAGTTGTTTCATGGAAAACACAGAAAGTTTGTCGACCAACTCTGTGAAATACTAAAGAACAAGCTTTTTGGAATTTGGGCAATTGAAGTGGAGTTTTCTGATTCTACTAAGACAGTTGTTGATGATATACATTTACCAGAAAATAAATACGATCTGTTTCCTATGATGCTCGGTGACCAGTTGAATATTGTCAGACACCTTCTCCGTTTATTTAAACGAAATATAAAAGTAGAAAACTAGTTCAAATGAAATAAAATATAATAATTAATAATAATAATTATAATAATTCTTAGAAATGAAATATGATATTTTCATACAATTATAAATCAACTATAATTAATACAATAAATTAATTTGTCTTTTAATAAACATTTCAAAATGAAGAGAAACACCGTCTAATAATTGTTTTTCTAGAGTTAATAGCTAAAAGCTAACAACACATGGTTCTGACGCAATATGTCGCCATGTTAGATACGGACAGGAGACCAGTCTTTGATGAGACTCGCACTACTATAATGTTTATTGAGGTTTAATGTAATATATTTGGTGTGTTCGTGATATTGTAGACATTTTATATTCATAACTTTAATAGTGAATTTTTTTTTAATTATTTTGCTGTCATTAACATTTTCCTGATTCATGATATTAATCAAACGCACTGTCTACTCTTTTATATTTCGCCATGGCATCATGGCTTCAATGTATAACTTATGTATTTTTCTAGTTTTTCAATATGTGATCAAGAATCAGGACGATTGAAAACTCCACACGAATTGGATTCCATACTGTTGGACTGTAGCTTAACACGCAAGTCACACATTGACATATCTTTTTATGATGAATAATAAATAATTACAGTTCATTTGTATTGATCTTGCAGGAATGGAAAAAGTGAGCAGAAATCGTGCACAAATGATATACAAGTATTAACAGGCTAAATTTTGAATTAAAATATAGTCAGGAGGAACAAGATTGCACGGTTACAGATAATTGGATTGTTAGCAATCCATTCTTTCCAAGAGAAAAAGCAACTGACACCAACCGCACCAGGAACGACCTACATTCATTTATCAAGCCAAGGCAAACTTTAACATCAATCAAAGATGAAGCAAAGAAAACAGTAGGAAAAGAAGACTAAATACTTCTTAGACAATTTTCAGATTCACTTACCTTTTTAGACATTGAAGACTTGTATGTATCTGTGTTAGAGAAAGGCAGTCTCCTTTCATTTTGTCAGGCAAAATTAATATTTCAATGACATAGTCATAACTCATTGTACACAGACAATAACATTAATTCTACATATACTGCAATAGCAAAAGATTGTTTACCAGGTTAGTTGGGGTAATACAACAAAACAAAAGTATCCAGTACAATGATGTTATGGAAATGGTTACTAAAATAGAATGTAGCTGTCTACCTTGGTTCAGATCCTATACTCTATGTAATTGAAACGCTTATTCTTCAATTTACTCTTATACAATGTATTAACATTGCATTCTGGGGATTGTGGATCACAGATCCAAAATCCTTGCCCCAAACACGCTTAAGTGGGTAAAGTTTCACATTTTATAAAAAAAAAATTTATAATAAGGGGTAACGACAATTATTTGCCATGGAAAAGAAAGTACAAAGCATGACCACAGCACAAAGACTGGAGACCATTAACAGATGCATGGGTCACACTAAGAGGGGCCTGGATGATGGAAGATATACTACAGGACTTATCAAATTGAGATGTTTTATGGCAGAAAAATTGTTAGATGAATGGGATAAACTCTTTGTGGGTGATCTGGAGGACAGAGTGGCCGAGACAAGAAGGAAAATAAAAAAATGCCTGCCTATGGTTGAAGGAGGCTACTCACCAAGGACAGACGATCCACAAGGGAAGAACATTAATGGCAATGTGAAAAGGAGAATATTGAAGCAAATATAAATAATATTTATATTGGGGCAGCAAAGGGCCAAGCCAATAGCCATGGCTCGACACGGAGCAGCAGCTGTTCCAGCACAAGAGGGACATCTTCCTTAAAAAGGAACAGAAACAGTGCAGTAACTGCAGATGAGAGCGATGATGAAGACCTATCAATGATGCAAGTCGATACAGGCATGCCAAAGCATACAATGTCTGGCAAGCAATGCTGGACCACACAAAAAGATGCAAGTGCCTTTGATAGGATGGAAGATAGCATTGATGATGAAATAGAGGACACCCCAAAGAAGGAAGAATACCCACCTTTCAAAGACCTAACAGATTGGATGGTGAAAGGAGAAGAATGGTGGACTGACAAAAAGCAAGAAATAATGGATGAAATTGGCGAGGCCATGGAGTTGGAGAAGGAGAGATGAAATGAGGAAAGAGCCCAAGACCAAGCCATGGTAAAAAACAACCAGCAAATGCAAAGTGCAATGATAAGATCCACTATAACCACTGCAGTGGATGAGGCCACAGAAAGGGAAAGAAAAAGACGTGAAGAAGAGAAAGCCCTGCATATGCACTTGGGCATCGAGTTACAAGAAGAGGTAGATAGATTCAGATCATCACCAAAGGATGGTTACAATGGTGCAATGAAATTCCTATGCTTAAAATATGGGGAAATAAAAACAAAATGTGGCGCAGCCTTTGCTAGGTTAGAAAAATTGGGCAGAGTGGCAGATGGTAACATTCGAAAACATGACAAACTAAGTCAAATACAGAAGGAGGTTTACAAGGATTATAAAGATAGAAATGATCTAGGAAGTGAACAGTTGGAAGCAATCCAAGTCATGGCCAGCAAGTTCAACATGACCACACAACTAAGAGCAAGATGGAAGGATGAGC